GCGTCTTGGGACCTGAAACTAGACACGTTGCCGCCAGCCTCTTTAATGAAGGCGTCCAGCGGCAGCCACCATGCCTCCTCGAACTTGTCGGCATACCTCATTTTGGTCTTAGCTGCTAGCGACTACAGCGTGGTCCGGAGTCGAGAGCATGTACAAGCCCAATGTATGCACTAAGGGAAGGAAGAAAAATGCACTATCACTAGTCAGCATACGCATCTTGCTCTTGGTAGCATCGAACGTCGAAGCCCTCCGTCGGCATTCGTGCCCCCGGGAGCGCCGCCACCGTGCGATGCTCATTGAACTTGTCCTCGATTTCCTGTGAGGCAAGTCAGCATACAACATACCAAGTCATGATGTATATCACAGTTCACTGAAGCACAATGCATTTCGAAGATTGTTTGTAAGTTTAGCTACTTCACGTTTCTCGTTTGTTTGTTGGCATACAGTAAAGTAATATTATTATTATTAACAAAAAATTATATAATTAATAATTATTTATTGATAACTAATAATTGATATAAATACATTTATAATTTATATAATTTATAATTTATAAAATTATAAGTTATAAATAAATAAATTATAAATTATTAAATTTATAATATAATATAAATATGATATAAATATATACTTTGCTGACGTTACTTGAACTCAAATGACTTTGTGTTTGATGTGTCAATTAATGACCAATGGTGTCAATACTCGTACTGATGAATTTAAGACCAGCAGCTGGGATGTCAGATCGAAGACGCTTCAGCTCCGCTGCCTTCATCCGCCCGAACTTCGTGCACCGTGTTTTCTGGCAGCACAGACGCACATTCACACCGAAATTATTGGCATGACTCGACTCGACTGATATGATATGATATGATATTGCTGGGAGGTGCCGGCTTACGAAGTGCGGCTAAGCAACAAAGCTATGAGTCATGAGAAGTTCTAGCTCTGATTATAAGTTCTGGTTATAGTTCTAAGTTCTAAGTTCTAAATAATTTAATGTTATAATTATAAATTATAAATTATAATTTATAATATTATAATCAATGACGACTCAGAATGGTCTAATGACCCCATGATGACTCTATGCAGTCGATGTCGATGACTCGTCTACCAGCTGCCGTCTATAGGAATAGGCTTGCATCACTACAATAAGCCCGGGCTAGCCAATCACTACCCCATTGGTTGTGGCCTCGCATGGAAAGCATTCGTTGCCGTCGGGCACTTTCTCCCCGTTGATCTTCTTGAAGCGGCTGGGCTTCAGTTCCACATCGGCATCCAAGCAGAACCGGTCGTACTGACCGAACAACTGCTCGCATTGGTCACACTTCCCTTGCATCGTCCCTTCTGCGAGCGAGGTTGCACGTAGAAGCAAGCTACACAGCGCTCACAAGCGTGGCTTGAACAAACTGCTGACATCAGTCAGAATCTGAGCAAACAGTCAATCAGTATGCAGTATGCCGCATGCCACACATTGACCGTGGGTCATCTCCAGATATTCAGAGATTCAGAAGGTATTCATTCATAGTTCGTAATTTATTACGAAACTTATTGCTGTTACCTACTTAGATAAATTATACACACTTGTCACTTATGCAGCTTATGCAATTATTTTATTAGTATTAGTTATTAGTTATTAGTTATGTAATTTATTATGAAATTCTGATTATTACTAAATTAAATTGCGTATTACTAATTACTAACTATACTGTATACTGTATACTATACTAAATTACAAACTAGGACTGACCAGACTGGACCAGACTGCATAAACCAATAGTAGACTGGGCAGGAGATCAGAGGGGGTTAGTTTAAGTTACGTGAACCGAGTTTAGTTTAATTCAATCTAATTTAATTTAAATTTAAATTATTTAAAATTAGTTTACATAAATATTTGTAATATTTGTTTCTACTATCTTCCGGACAGATTTAAATTTTGGCTCGATACAACAATCCTACGAGGACCCCTACCAAACCCTCGAAGGACCTCTAGGAGACCCCTACGAGACCCCCTACGAGTCCCCTACAAGACACCCCTACGAGACTCCTACGAGACCCCTACGAGACTGCTACGAGACCCCTACGAGACCCCTAGGAGACTCCTACGAGACCCCTACGAGACCCCCTACGAAGACCCTTACGAGACTCCTACGAGACTCCTACGAGACCCCTACGAGGACCCTTACGAGACCCCTACGAGACCCCTTACGAGACCCCTACGAGGACCCCTACGAGACCCCTACGAGACCCCTGCGAGGACCCCTACGAGACCGCTACGAGACCCCTACGAGACCCCTACGAGGACCCCTACGAGACTCCTACGAGACCCCTACGAAGACCACCAAATTGGCCTGGCTTTTAGTCGTCTCTTAATATAATTATATTAAAGGCCAATGGAATATCGTGGTTTTTGTTGGGGTCCTCGTAGGGGTCTCGTAGGAGTCTCGTAGGGGTCTCGTAGGGGTCTCGTAGGGGTCTCGTAGGGGTCCTCGTAGGGGTCTCGTAGGGGTCTCGTAAAGGTCCTCGTAAAGGCCGCGTAGAGGCCTCGTAGGGGTCTCGTAGGGGTCTCGTAGGAGTCTCGTAGGGGTCCTCGTAGGGGTCTCGTAGGGGTCCTCGTAAGGGTCTCGTAGGGGTCTCGTAAAGGTCTCGTAGGGGTCTGGTAAGGGTCCTCGTAGGGGTCTCGTAGGGGTCTCGTAGGAGTCTCGTAGGAGTGTCGTAGGAGCCTCGTAGGAGTCTCGTAGGGGGGGTTCGTAGGGGTCTCGTAGGGGTCTCGTAGCAGTCTCGTACAGGTCTCGTTGGAGTGTCGCTAGGGTGTTGTCGGGGTGTGGTAGGGTTTCTCGTAGAAGTCTATACTATACTTGAGTTGGGTCTCGCGGGGGTCTTGTAGGAGTCTAGGCGATGTGCAAGAGGTCTGTAGAGTTTGTAAAGGTTTTGAATTCAGGATTAGGATTATTATTATTAATTATTATTACTAGTCCTGACTCATGAGTCACATAAGTTATAATTTATAATTTATAATAAGTTTTAAGTTTAAAGTTTTAAGTTTCAAGAAATGTTTTAACATTATTCATAATTTATAATTTATTTATAATTTATAATTTATTATAATTGTCATATCATAAATCATAATAATTATAATTAAAATTACAATTATATTATATTATGAATTATTATTTATTATTATTATTATTTATAATTTATAATTTATAATTATGATTCATAATTATGATTCTGATATGATATGAACCTTCAGCTGCTAGGACTCCCACACTGAAGCTAGCGCAGGCTACACATGTACGGTTGCAGTTGAACAGCCCTGAATCCTGGAGGGGAAAGTTCGTCTCGCGCTCTTGCAACCATTGCAAGATATGCCAGGCATCCGGCTTCCTGCACAGATACGGGTCCTGCAGCACGGTGGTGAGGATGTGCACCACCAAATCCTGATATGATCCATGGTCGAATCACGCGTTGAGTGAATCATGGGCTCACGTCATCTGTCAGTGACTGCAACTACTGGCTTGACTCCTGATACTTGATCGCTGATACTATGACAGTATGACACCATTGATGACCATGCTTCCAATGTCGCTTCGTCATTTCCGGTCGGCCTGTCGTAAACATGATCATAGATCTCGGCACCGATGAAATACAACCGGCATCGATTCAGTGGCAGTCCATACATGGATGACCTGAGATGGCCCAAAACTCCCAGGGACCTAACCTAACGAATCCAGCCACACTAACGCAGGTCGCTGGCACTTACTCACACACACACACATCACATGATCTTGCAATTTGGCAGAACTTCTTGGGGCCATGGGACCGCAGCATCACGACTCTTACGGAATAGCCTGGTATCAAGCTCAGCCCCACCTTTGCTCCATCCGGCAGGACTCCCCGCATAATGAAGTCGATCGGAGCCTGCCGCACACTACGATCAAAGAGTCGAGTCTAGTGAATCAAGCAGCAAGGGGATGGAATCCAACTGTCAACTGACATGTAATGCGAAAGTGTACAACTTGAAACACACGACAATTCTGTAAAGCAATCCCCGCACCAACTTTCATTTTTTGTCTGTGACGGCACATCCACGACTCTCACCAGGCATGCAGGGAACTTGCACTCCAGACCACGTGGCTACCTCTGCTCTGCATCATCCGGCTGGATCTGAATGCACCATACTGGATCTAAACCTTCTCAACATGCGATCGTACCGTACTCACATTAAATTACCGAACTTAAAAGCTAGGGAGGCTAGGGTCATCATATAATTATATGAATATAGAATATATTATATTATATTATATTTTTGTTTATATTTATATACAAATGCCTATAGCCTATAGCCTATAGCCTAAAGCCTACAGCCAATTGCCTATGTTATATTTCTAGTCTAGAACCCTAACTTAACCCAGTCTAATCCATGCGTCCCGCACGTAGCCAACGAACTGACCTCTGTCACTCTCTCACTCTCTCTGTCCAGGAGTCCAGGAACACAAATGCTTTAGTGTAGCGACAGTCTCTGTACAGCTAGTGAATGACATGATATGATATAATTTAATATATTTAAATTTAGTTTAATAACATGATATGATAATATAATTTGATTATTGTCTAATCTTATGATAATGTCACTCATGTCACTCCTCCTGTTGCACGGTTGTAAGTTGTAAGTTTCGACCTAAATTAAGGTTTAGGATTTAGGGTCTAGAGTCTAGGGTGGGTCAAAATAAGTAATGTAATTGAGTTTGTCTAATCTACCTACGTTACCTAACTCAGGCCACCTAACAAATTGCCTAACTATTGATTTGGTAACAGTTTAGTATTAGTAGTTAGTTAGTAGTTAATTATAGTAGTAGTATTAGAAAGCCAGAGGCAGAGGACGAGGCGATGGTCCGCGAAACTGTACACTCGGCCCTTCCGAAGCTTCCCATCGCTTGAAATCTTGAGCTTACCTGCCAGCTAACGTCATGGTCTGAATTTCAACATTGCACCACAAAAGTAGTTCAATCACCGGCGCACTGACCTCGAAGAATCCTGCTACGAACATCTTGCAACAGCGATGCCCTCTCGGCATCTAGACCAGGCTTAGCCAACTCGTTGGACAGCCAATCCAGCGAAGCTACGAAAGTCTCTGCAGCAATACTGGAAACACATTCGGGATGCAATGACCTAGGCGGCTTCTTCGCAGCAAATGCATATTCCAAGCGGTAGTCGCCTTTGCTGATAGGCTGCTTGCACATGAAGCAGCCTGTGCGCCTCTGGAGGACGCTGCATCCCGTGATGCCAAGTCTGGTATTGAAGGGAAGTTCACCGCCGCCAGCCGCCAGATCGGAGCCAACTGCAGCCGTAGTCTCAGCACCGCCCCTAGAAGCACTGGCAGCAGCAGCATTGGCATCATCAGCGTCGCGATTTCGAGCCCGAGCAATCTCCGAACCCGGTGCTTCACGATCTTCTGCATCGAAATCGTTGCACTGGTTGGCCACCGACCTTGCTGTAGCTGCCACCTCCTGCTCGAGGTCGGCCGATAAGAACTCCACGGCAACTGGGCTTGTGTCGTGCCTCTGCATCCGGTCAAGAGCAAAAGCAGCTGCACCTGCGACGGGCGGCTCCTCATCTTCTGGGCTCGAATCCTCTTGCGGCGCTGGCTCGACTGCTGGTGCATTGGTCTTCACCGAAGGCTTGGCAGTGGAGTCACGCCCACGGCCACGGCCCCGCCCGCGTCCCCTCCCGGATGCTTTCTCCAGCGAGATTCCAAAGGGCATGAAGGAAGTCGCAACATGTCGTGGAGGCTTCAATGCAAACGGAACTTCAGGACCAATCTCGAAAGTAGCAACAGCCGAGCCTGTCCGAAGATAATTCGGTACAGCACCAGCATTGCCCACGGCTTCGAAAGAGCGACAGCAGCACTTAACACGCAATTTCTTCAGTTCTGAGTGCTCTGCGAGCACCTGTTTGGAAATCTCACGCAGAATGCCATGAAGTGTCTGTAGCTGCCACATTTCATCTGCAACGAGAGGGGTCACGATATCTGCATGGAGCCTGTGGGCGACTAGCCTTCCCATTATGTGAGACAGCGGCCTCTTACTGATACAACCCATCAGCAGCCACAGCGGCTCCAAGAGGTCACTTGAAGACGAGGAAGAGCTGGTCAACGAGCTTGACACGACCTGTATGTTGAAGAGAGATACCCCCTGGATCTTGTGCACGTCCAAGTAACGCTGGAACTGTTGCACCATGGTCACCACTTCTGCAAACAAGTTTGTCTCGCTCTTACAAACACCTGGATGCAGCTCTGCGCAACTACAGAAGATGTGCGGCATCTGCTGTGGATTCGGCTCTGAGGCTGGCAGATAATCAAAGGCTGCCATCACCGCTGATTCAGGATCTACGCATTGAACAAGGCTAGGCTTCAACGCAGCAATATGATCACAGATCCCCAGCCCTGAAGCCCAAACTGGATGTATGGCCAAGGCCTTCAGCGATTGATTGAGCTGCACTTGCCCCAGTCTCTTGCGCTGCGAACACGACAGCACATCCGAAGCAGGAGTTTCCTGGCTTTCGGCGTCCCTCAATGTTTGGCTGCACTGTGCTGAGCGGGCTAAGTTCTGTTCATGTGCTCGTGCTTCGTAAATAGCACGGCCTTCCGCAGACGTCTGGTCCCATTCAAGCCTCACTCTCTGCAACAGATTGATATATTCTGGTGTGCCGACACGCACCGATCTGCCTTTCATCTTGCTCTGCTGGAACGCATTGAATGCACATATACGTCGCGACTTCTTTGCCGCCTTAGCGGATGCACCCAAACCACAAAGTGACCTCGGCAGTAGGATAAGTAAACCGTATAGGTCTAGTTATTGAGTTTTTGAATCCATTCGGGGTTTTGGGACGACACAATTAAATAAGATAATGACAATGATAATGATATTTACATTTTATATTATATTATTTATTTATATGTATATAAATTATATAAAATATAATATATTAATTATATATTTATATAAAAATATAAAAAAAGCAAAACCACAAACTTAACCTACTGGAGGCTGTAGCCAAAAGCCCTCTCTCAGAAACTTTATTATATTTCATTATGAACTTCTGACTCTGACTAGGAAATACTTACTTAATTATTCGTTCTACAAGTATTATTCTTCTGATTCCTATACCTACGCCTATGAATCTCTTACACAACAAACGGCTGCGTGTTTGACTTAACATGATTTCACTGACAGGCCAGAATCGCATCAGCAAAACAACCCAGCCCAGGACAAGCAAAGCAACATCCGGCCAAGGCACGCCAACGACTTGGGTTTCTTCTGCACACTTCCAATGCGAGAGGATGTGCTTCCAGGCAGAGACCTGGAAACTACCCGACCTGCCAGCAGCCTACCTGCCCTCTTTTTGGAAACTCCCAATGTCTCGTCCTCGGCCGCTTTCTTCAACCGCTGATGTTCCAACCGTGTGGCCATAACATAGGTGTGGAGCTGCAGGTTTTTTTCTGATCTACCAGCCCGATGCGCTGTCGCCGTTTGTTGTGTGTTGCTGTGCAGCTTCTCAACATTCACGGACGAGGCCGGCATGTAAACCAATGCGTCCCTGAGCAAGTCTACCAGCTGTTGCACGCCTCGCACGTTATCACCGTTACCAGCAACATGCAAAGCAACCTGAGTCCAATCAGAAATCAGACCATGGACCGCCGTATTATATGTTTGACTCATGACTCATAACTACTCATAACTCATGACTAATAACTCATAACTCATAACTCCTCATAACTCATAACTCATAACCATAACTTGCGACCCTGAAGTAATTAACTAACGACCAACGAATTTCCACATCTTGGGACCGGACTTGCACGAAAGGGTCGCCCGCACAACAGAGGTCCAGTCTTGACAAGTCTTTCAAGTAAGCTGTTGCTGCCTCCACCGTCATCGTGCCGACCCCAAGCAATTGGGTTTTCTTTTTTTGAGCAGGTAACCACATTCTCCGCCATGTATCACACATGGTGGGGAAAACATGAGGTAGGATGCTGGCAAAGGTGATTGTGCATGCTTCGTAAATGTCATCGTCCGGAGGCGCCATCAACAAAGTTGTAAACTCCTTGACAGCATCTAGGCCTTTCTGTCCAGAAAACAGATCCCAATTCATCTGGCAGAGATCTTGCTCGGTGCATTGGCAAGCGCTCTGGGGGAGATGAAGGGAGCGAGACCGCATCTGCAGCCGATCACGACAAGTTTCCACATAAGATATGAAGTCCATCAATGTTGCAATGGGCCAGTGCACCAGCATTGACTTCCCAAGTTCTGCCTCAAATACATGTGTCCTATAGCCCATAGCCTATAGCCTATAGCCTATAGCCTTTAGCCTATAGCCTATAGCCTATAGCCTTTTGCTCTGGAACTTCTATAATATAATTCCTATAGCCTATAGCCCAGGCCCATAGCCTATATAATATAATATAGCCATCTAGCCGCCTATATTTCTATAACTTAACTTAACCCCCTATAATTTCAAAAATCGTTTAATGCATCTTTGGCTACCCGAATGTTCTGGGATGTTACAAGTGCCAAGGTCTTGCTCATCCGAATTTCCTGTCGAGCAGAAAAAGACAAGTCAGGAGCATCTTCATCCATTGCCTGTAAGTCAACGGTTTCCTGGCTTTGCTTGCTGCAGCAGCGTCTGATCAAGAATGGCATGAAACCGTGAATAAACACTCCACGGGTCGTGTAGCTCTGGCATTCCGTCCAGCCCTTCCAACGGTAGAGGAGAGGCACTTGAGGAAACTTCTCAAAGAGGAGCCGAAGGGCCTCACGACAACGCTGGACACAGGTCTCCGGGCTGGTGCAACACCCGCAACACCAGTGCTGAAACCGCCCCGTGTGGTCCACTTCCTCATCCCACCGTCCGTTGAAAGTCTGCAATATGAAATCTTGCTCTTGTTGGCTCAAACCGAAGCTCACAACACTCAGCAGTAGTTTCTGCTTTGCTTGCACGGCCTGGATTGTCTGTGGAAGCTCCCTGACAACCCGTCTGTCTACGGCACGAGACAATATATCCAATCCATCTTCAAACAATCCTTGAAACTTTGTCGCCCTCATGGCACGTGTCATGCGAACCATGCCGCTGCATAGCCCAGGGATGCCCAACAATCCTGGTTTCAAGGACAATGCTGCCTGGTGGTGGAGGCAGTTGCACTCGGTTTGTAGTGTTGTACAAGCGTTGGGATCTTTTTGCATACGCCCACGATGCCAATCCGAGTGCTCTGCTGCCTGCACTACATGATTGGCAGGTAACGCATCACCACCTAAGTCGCTGCATAACTGCAGTGCAAAACTGCAAAGCTTGCTATCGAACAAACTAACTAACAAAATAACAAACCTGACAACCAATTGCCCTGCTACCGACTACTTCCCAGCACTTTAATGACACCTTAGCTTTATCTCGGGATGGACATAGGATCTGAATATCGAGAAAGCCAACTACTATCTCGTGAATTAAATCAATGGATCCCGATTATATCAACAAGAGATAATGACAGTATCAGAATATAATATAAAATAAATTAAAATAAATTAAAATAAATATCTCCTGAATTCAAATAACTCAAGTGACAATGAAGCACTAGCTTCAATGGGACTGATTTGAAGAATTCCCAAAGTTGACGCCCCCCAAACTGTTCGGCACAGCCGACTGCAGAATACAGAGACCATCTGCGAAGCCTGCTCAAGATCGTCCATGCGTTCGCACGTGGCAACAGCTGGCAGGGAGCATGCACGTGAGCTATGCACGCTGCAGCGTTGTTTGAATCACTTCGTCTGATAACCAGTGTCTGAAGCATACCCAACAGTGTTTGCACCCGCTTGATGCCCTTGACATTCTTCGTGGATGCTGAAGCATGACCCGTCTCGGAAATTGTACGCTTCTTGGAAGGGTTGTTGACCCAAACATTCGTGTCATCGGAAACGACTGTAACCTGACAAATTTACAAAGCCAAGCTATCGCGATCCTATCCCCATACAACATAACGGCAGCGTGGTTCAGCCTGCAGTAGGATTTATGGTTTGTATGCTCACATATCATATTCAGATTAATATTTCATACTCATCATTGACTCATCACATAATATATGTGTTTTATAGCTTAAACTTATAGTTTATAATTTATAACCATAACTTTATAATCAAACTACTTATAGTTTATAGAGACTTGTCTCCATGATGTACAGGCATTAGATTTCGGAACTCATGTAAAGTTGGGGCAAGCAGAATCCCTCACGGTCACGAGTCATTAAGAACAAGTTACAAGCTGCAAGGGTCCCCGCGATATACGTTAGTAGTAAAATCTATAAGTCTATAAGTCTATAACTTAGTCTATAACACAATATAATTCAAGAATCAAGAACTTAATAAGAATATAGTTCAATCAAAAATTATAAATAACTATAACTTCCCCGTCAGCCTATCATCGGTCGTTGGCGTACAGGACTTAATGTACGGTTCAGAGACTAGAGCGGATTAGACTATAGAATAGACTAGATCTGAATTGAACGGCCAAGAGATACAGCCTAAATACTACAGTATGGTATAGCCTGGAAGCAATCGCATGCTTGCAGGAGCCGTCCTGGATGAATCGTTGCAGTGCGTCTCTGACAGCCACAACATGGCTGTATATGCCGATGCCCTGCTGCCTGCTCATAGCACGATACACATCACTGGAATAGTCAAACCCGCTGTATGACCCAGCACCATCCGGATACAATACCAGATTCTGTGATATATGCATGCCACCCTTGACTGCTGCCTTTTGGAAATCCCCAAAAACATTCCGCACCAAACTCAACCTCTCATCCGTGGAAGCTTCAGCTAAAGCGGAGAGCTCCGAAAGTTTCTTCGATTGCATACCATGTTGAACGAAAGCACCGTGACGGGACCCACGTGAGGTCTTGACAAAGATCGGCTCTGCAGTATCCTCAGTTAAAGATAGCATCTGGTTTGTAATTGACATGATGACTTTTTGATTCCCCACTAATTTCGATAACCTTAATTTATAAGTTATAAGCCTTACATATATCATATATCATATAATATAACTATGACTACTATAACTATAACTATAACCTATAGATGCTTCGAATCTACAGATTCATGTTAAACGAGCAACAACAACAATAGCAACCCATAGTTCATAACGAATATAATATGTGATATCAACCCCTACCCGGCCCTAATTACTCTATCACTCTATCCCATCACCTATCTTGTCGAGCTGAAAATCAGCATGCCCCACTGATGCGGCCGTGGCAGATCTCTTTGCTCTCGTCAAGAATATAGATGCAAACATCAAAGACATGGCTGCCGATCCCTCCGTGCTAGCTACCCACTAACCGGCACGAAAATCGACTGGGCCACATCTGCGCAAGGGAACAACATCAACTCTCGCAGGAAAGCAGGAGCATGAGTCATGAGTCTATAATTTCCAAAGTCCTCCCAGCGCTCACCCAAGGATTTAACCACCCAAATCGCCCATAGCCGGCCTTGAACTCGTCATCCTCCGAGACAGTGGCCGCCTTCTTCAAGCATCCTTGCACATTCTCAAGAATGAAGAACCTGACACGAAGGCAGACAGACTCAAACGTCAAGTCCGTCAAGTCATATGATGTCATAGGAGAGGAGTCAAGCAACCTTGGACGTCTCCGCTGGATGTGTCTCGACGTCTCCAGGAAGGGGACGATCTGTGCAGCCTTTCCAGAAAAGCCGAGTAGTTCATATTATGATCAGCATGTTTTTTGATCATATTCCACGTATCGATCTAGATAAGTCGCCTGCGGACCATGCTCATCGAAGAGCTGTGGGATAGAGGCATGGGAAAATCTGATGTTGGAATCCTGTCAGTTTCTGACAAAATAAGGAAGATAACATGACTACCACTGCACACTTCCCATGATCCGGGTCCTGTGAAAACGCCTTGCAGACAAAGCCACATATGTAGAGGTCCTCCTTGACAAACTCCTTGGCTCCACGATTCTATCATCTGCTGTTGTCGGCTTTTAGCTAAGATTTGGCGAAGGCTCGAGATGGATCACCGGTGGGAGCGCTGCCAATCCAGCTTCGCCGAGCCTGTAGGATCTAGGACTGCTTCTATTATCACAAGAAAACTGAAGACTCCACAAAACAATCACTGACTGCATAAACCTCGTAAGCCAAGCAACCGCATTCCTCTCATATCGTTGTAGCACTTCTCCGGACGGGTGTTTTGAAGAAGCCATCGTCGGGTGGGTGCCTCGGCGTCTATGTGAAAAATCATGATGATACGATATCATCACTCACCGCATCATGTCTGCTTTCTCTCAGAACAGCAAGCCGCATGAATTTCAGCTGCTGCCAGCTCTCGATAGTTCGCCTTGCCAACGAGCTCTTCCAGCGCGAGCGTCGGTGCGCCCGTGCAGGAACAGGCTGTTGTCAGAACCTTATATTATGCTCGTCAGAAAGAAAACGCTTGAAGCGACCTGCAAACGATAAAATGTCATCATCAACTCAGAATCAAGAACATAGTTTTAACGAGTAGCGATGGGGTCCTGGAGGGGCTCTTGCAGAAGATCCAACTGCAATCCCAACTCAGCTAACCCCAATACAGCCCAGTTGAAACAGGCAGGCTCTGTCATCTCCGCCGCAATCGACGAGGGAACCGGTGAGCGGGATCGTGACCTGCATTATGCAGCACAAAAGAAACGTGTAGAAAATGATGTCTACACCTCACTCCACATATCCCGGCCTCTCTTCGTTTGATATGTCATCCCGGGTCCGGGGGCAATACATGGAGTGAAACATCTTCTACCGCCCACTACCAATCTAGGAGCTCCTGAGCATCTTGCGGCATAGGCCAGCATTCCAGAAGCCTGGCACGATATGGTGGGATTTATCCTATATCAGAATCCAACCTCCGCTGATTTTCAGAACGAAACTCATGGAGGCACAAGTCCAAGACCCCGAGCCCCAAAGACCCTTAGCCACTGTGCCCGAAGCCTTAAAACCATGAACCTCCAAACCCTAACCTCCTAAAATGCTGAACCTGAGACCCAAGGTTGTATGTTCAGCCTGAACCTCTAAGCCAACCCGCAAACTCGTACCTCCACCCTAAACTGTAGAGTTCCGCTAAATCAGAGCTTTCCCTGAGGTCGGTTGCAGTCGATCTGGGTCTGCCTCAAAATTGCGTAGGGCTTTGGGTTCAGGGTTTGGGATTGAGGTATCCTATTAGGATTATTGTAACCAGATGGGAACCCTAAGAAGCCCCTAACCCCTCTGTTACCATACGGGAAACCCTAACAAGCCCTAAACTGTCTGTAACCAGACAGTTTAACCCTAAGCCTAATACTAAATACTACCCGTCTGTAACCAGACGGGAAAACCCCTAATATTAACTACCGCGTCTGTAACCAGACGGGGAACCTAATACTACCCGTCTGTAACCAGACGGGAAAACCGACAACCCTAAACCCCAAAAAAACACTCGTTACACGAAGCAGGTATCATTAACCATATATATGTGCCTATGTTATATTCCCCATCATTATTCATTTCTAGCCTAATATATGAATTATTCCATGATGTAAACCTCACAATTAACCTCAATATTAGATATCCCTACCCAAGGAGTATCATTCTATTACATTATAAACCATACATTTAACCCTATATTATTCCCCAAATATACATATTTGGGCCTAGGTTCTAACTAAGTAACTTAACGATACCATGCCGACACCAACTCATAAGGGTGTCGCACCATTTTGGGGACCTGGTCTGGGACCCTGATTTAGGCAACTACCTATATAGCTTATAGCCTTATTCTCATTTCCGGGAAATCCCTTCAGGCGTCCCCCTCGGCCATTGTCTAATCCTGAAACCTGACCTCAAAACGCCTCAATCACACCGAAAACCTAAACACAAAGAAAACACCACGAACCCCAAAACCTTAAATCTACCTTCGTTTTGAATCTAAACCAGACCCAAAAACTCTAAATCGACCTCTAGGGCAGTCTGACTGTCGATGAAGTTCACAAAGCCCACGGAATGTCCATTCGGCTTCCGCCGAGCCGGAAGAACATACACCTGCGGGTTCA